CTCATTTTACAGATGAGGAAACTGAGGCAAACAGGGTTAAGTGATGTGGCCAGAGTCACACAACAAATAAATATCTGAGGCCTGATTTGAACCCATGAAGATGAGTCTTGTAACATAAAAAGTTTGAAAGACATAATTTCTGGGTAATTAATAATTTTTTAATAATGCTAGCATATTATTAATAAAAGGGATCAGTGACACTTGAAAATATAAAACAATGATGATGTGGGAGGCTAGGGGTGAAGCTGTATTTCTATGGTAAACAAAGCAAATAAACAAAAAGCCTGTGTGTACTTAGAAAATGTTGAAAGGATCCCCAGTTTTTTTTCTGAACTGGAACATATGTATAAGAACTGAAAACAGCCCTGCCTCAGGGTGTGGTAGGCATATCCAGGACCCAGAAGGCCAGGTTCAGAGCTGAGGGAAGAGGAGTGCTGTCCTCTCTGGGTAGGAAAGAGCAGATAAGGGGGGTGTGAGAATGACTTGGCCAGGCAGGGCCAGTCCTGCCTTTGCTCAAGGACTTGTGTGGAATTTTAATCCCTGCTGAGCAACTGAAGTTCAAACAGTATTTATTACATAACTGGTGAATTTTTTTTAAGTGTTTTTGGTGCTTGGGGAAAGAATCTCTGCTTGCTTTTGAGGGAATTTGATTTTCTATTGTGTGTGTGAATTGCAAATCTTTGTGGACCTGACTGTGTGTCTCATTCTTGGAGGCCACAATAGTGCCTAAGGAACCATCTGTTGCTTTGAGAAGTGGATCAATAAATGAGGGGGAGTTTCCCATTGGTCCATATGAATTTAATTAGGCTGGATGAATGGAAAACTCACCTTCGTTTACTCCCTCCAGTCATCTTTTGAAAGAGTGAACAGGTTTCCAGTTAGTTACCCATTTCATTGTTTCAAAAAATCCAATTATGTTGAATTATTCATTAAATATTACTGTGTTAGACATTGTAAAAATAAAGTTGAGAAGCAATACAGTCTCCATCCTCAAAGAATTTACAATCTACTAGTGTAGGGGTTGGAGTGGCAAGATATGATATATACTTAAGGAAGTATAGTATAAAATTAATTATTTATCCAGCTTAGAAATAAATGCAGCACTCAGTGGTAAATAAATATGTTGTAGGAACATCATAATGTAAATGCATTATAGGAAGCTATATCTTCATTAGATGGGTGAGTGTTTTTTTTTCTTTTTAGACTTAACCAACTCTAATGTATGCATGTCACCAAAAGCTAACATTCAAAAGGGATTTTTTTTCTTCTAAAATACAATTCAGCCATTTAGTTTTTCTCTCTTCGGAAGTGCCATTTTTCATGATGTTTTATAAGAAGCTAGCTCAGTGGTTACCAAAACATGGCACAAAAAACCATCTGTGTACATTGGTAGAATAGATAGTGGGTTAGGCCAGTATAAAGTGAAGTGGGAGATAGGTCCTGCCTTCAAGGAGTTTATCATGCTAAGGGGAGATGAGAAAAGTAACTGAATAACTGAAATACTTGGTAGAAAATGATAGGTCCTCAAGAAAAATATAGACAATTTGCTTTGGGGATTTAGAACAAAAATAGACAGTAGAAAGTTGATACCTTAAGTAAGAATCGAATTAGAGAGCCCACCTAAGGGCAGCTAGGTGGTGCAGTGGATAGAATGCTGGGCTGGGAATCAGAAAGATACTTCTTCATGAGTTCAAATCTAGCCTCAGACACTTACTAGCTATGTGACCCTGGGCAAGTCACTTAACCCTGTTTTCCTCAGTTTCCTCATCTGTAAAATAAGCTGGAGAAGGAAATGGCAAACCACTCCAGTATCTTTGCCAAGAAAACCCCAAATGGAGTCATGAAGAGTCAGACACAACTGAAAAATGACTGAACAAGGACAAAAACTTTAATAAGACTATTGTGAGGAACATGTTTTCTGCAGACCCAAAGGACTATTTGTTATTATGATTTCAAGAAGATCTAGAAAGATCCATAGAGTCAGTTCCATCTCTACTCTTGTTTAACTTAACTACAATGTCAGACCAATTTTGAGAGAAAGACACCCTTAGGTTACGACTGTAGAAGCTTTCTGTTTCTCTTTGTAAAGCTCATCTCCAGAGGATCACGGGAAATTATGCAAATGACTCCTTCCTAGGCAGTCACCCCATACCACTCTGAAAACCCTTTTGGCAGCCCTAGACTTCATCATTTGTGTAATTTACATACATTTCTTTCCTTGCCTAAGAATTTAAGAGGAATGGGGTCGGGATGGGGGAAAGAAAAGGTGCAGAGAAGAAGGAAATACAAAATTGCCTTTAAAAATGGCAGCGATTCTGTTTCCCTGGACCACTTCTCTTCAGTAGATGCACTCAAGACTGGAAGCAAAGGGAAGGATAAGTGGCCTCAGACTGAATACCAAGTTGCAATTTAATCATAAAGTTCTGCTATTTATAACTGGTAGGTCCTAAGTTTAGGCAGTTTATGAATCCTGACAAACTTCTGAGATTTAATTACCTTTGATAAGCTGTTATTTGTAATATGTGAAATTATTAGAGAGAGTTTAGGGAGAGAGAAACTGATGCAAAATGGGAGATTTAGGAAAAAAAAACCCAACTTGGATTCTCTAGAACTGGAAGACCAAAACTAAAATGTAGGAAATAAGAAGTCAGTTTACATCTGGGATGCAACTAAAGTAAATGTACTAGTCCAGGGGTGGGGAACCTATGGCTTTGAGGACACGTGTGGCCTTCTAAGTCCTCAAGTGTGGCCCTTTGACTGAATCCAAACTTCACAGAACCTTTGTGTTCCTAGTCCTAGACCATGGTGATATGCACAGTATAAACAGGGATTAGGTGAGACAATATTGATATGGAAATTATTGTCCCCTCTGAAATATTCAGTTTGAAATTCTAAGATTGAGAGATAGGACGGATCTTAGAACCTCATCATTTTTCAGATGGGGAAACTGACGTTTAGGACAGTTAAATTACTTGCTTGAGGTCACAGAGGTGGCATTTCACAGAAACACAGAATCTCACACCTGAAAAGGACCTCAGAAGCCGTCATATCTGAATACTCCAGTCCTTTTTCAGTTGTGTCTTTGTGACCCCATTTGGGGTTTTAGAGGTACTGGAGTGGTTTGCCATTTCCTTCTCGAGCTCATTTTACAGATGAGGAAACTGAGGCAAACAGGGTTAAATGACTTGCCCAGGGGCACACAGCTAGTAAGTGTCTGAGGTCAGCTTTGAACTCATGAAGAAGAGTCTTCCTGACTCCAAGCCTGGCACTCCATTCATTGCACCACTTATCAGTTTCTCCCATTTTACAGGTTGGGAAACATGGGCTCAGAGAGATTAATGATGAGTATGGTCACATAGCTTGTGTGTGAAACAAAGCCAGAACCTGTATTTTCTGTTTTCAAGCCCACCGCTCTTTCCATGATATTATTTGCCTTTAGTCTTGCTAAATGCCTCACTTGTCTAAGCCTCTTGTTCTGGTTTTCCCTATAGTACCTCATGAATTAGGTACAGAGAGCATTGGGCTAGACTCTCATCCTACATGGGTCCTATTATGTTCCTTCCCATGAAGGAGCAAGGAAGCAAAGGGAAGGTGGGGATTACTAGGCAGTAGATGGAGCAGATTCTAGAAATGAAATACATAACTTTCACCTGCTACAGATGCCATGATGTGGTCCATTGTGTGGGACCACTAAGCTTTCTTCACTCACCCTTCAGACTTGCTGGGTGCTTTGTGATTGTTCTGACACGTTTTTCCTTACCAACTAGGAGTTAAATTTGTATTCTTTCCCTGCTTTGCAAGGAAGGAACCTGAAAGAGTAGAGGAATGATTAAGAATAAGTCAATGGCTCTGGGTTCCCTAGCAAGCCTAGGCTCTTCAAACTTTAGGTGTCTTCAGAAAGGCTCTCATGGTATACTCCTTTCTCTGAGAATTACCTTGGATTGTCATTTTTAGGAACCTAGACATGTTGAGGTTTAGGGGCTTAGGGGTACTGGAACCCCAAAATCATGACATGCAGGTCTTGCCTGAAAGAATTTGACCCAAGCCTTCTTTCAGCCAAAGACAAGATTTGTTAAAACATCTGCTGTATTGGCCAGACTCTTAAGGAATCTGAACATTAGTGAGCTATTGTCTAGATTATAAGAATCTGAACACCTTCATGGAGGCAAGATGGACCTTATATACAGAAAGACTGTGGGAGAGATCTAGGAGTGGCCAAGGGACCTGGACCACATGGCCAAGGGAGAATGGAGCCTACCTAGGATTAAGGGTGGGAAGTGGCCAGGGGGCATAGTGAGGTAAGATAATGGAGGGCTAGGTTAGGTTAAGGGTAACAGAGAGTTGGGAGAGTGGAGAATTGGGAGATTACAAAATCCCACAATGAAAGGCTATTTGATGGGATTATAGCCTCACAGGAATGCCAGAGATTTGGCCATGTGGGAAAGTCCAGGGTTTTTCCTTTCTGGGGTCTACATCCCAACCCCATCAGATATATCTTTTAAAGAATCAGTATGATATAGTGAATCAGACACTAGACTTGGAGTCAGAAAGACCTAGGATCAAATCCTGCCTAAAATAGCTGTGTGGCCCTGGTGGGTATATATCATTTAACATCTCTGTGGCTCAGTGTCTACATCTGTTAAAAAAAAAAAAGAAAACAAAAGAAAAGAAAAACATTTGAACTGAATGGCTTTCTAAGATCCCTTTCAACTCTAAATCTACTTTTCTTTTTTCAAATGTTAATTTTATTTAGCTTAAAAAAAACTCGCTTAAGATGGTTAATGACCTCAGGCTTTATGGAAATTGCAATCTCTCCCTTTTTTTTTAAAGCATAAAGTATGTATTAATATTTAATCCCTATGATTTGGAAGAACTTGAAACTGCAATTAGATGGCAGAGCCCATCTGCTCCAAGCAGTTGAACAACAGTCTATTAAATAACTAGGAGGGTGAAGAGGGCTGCCAATCACCTTTAGATTTATTCCTTAACAAAGTGTGCACAAGCTCTCAAGAGGGAGATCCAGATGGTGAAGGAAACTCTGCAGGCCATGATTGTGCAGCTTCAGCCAGCAGAGGCCGGAGACTTCCTGTGTGCCAGCTGGTGTCCAGAAAACCCCGGCTGGACAAATGATGGGGGAGGTGGGAGAGGAGACAGTTTCACAGTTTCATAAATCCCAGTTCCCAGAGGGCTGCTTCGGGTAACTGAGCCCTCTCACGCACCAAGCTGGACACACCTCTTCACATTCTGCTTAATGAATCCTCTTGAAGAATTTATGGAGACTGGAGTCTTGGAAGACCATTGGAAGAGGACTATGCTGATTCTTACAGGCTAGCACAGATCAGGAAAACAGCTTTCCATGAAGTATGCATGGTAACTGGAATTGGGGAGACTACAAATTAATATGGTGGCAGAGGGAAAGAGATACTGATTTTCCTTTAGAATGGGAAATAGAGATACCTCAAACATGTTATTAACCATGGTTTCCCTGCTCAGGATTAATGATGTTCAAGTATTTCCCTTCCAGCCCCCCCCCCACCCCTTCAGAGACAGGAATCCTGACAGATGACTGGCCTCTCCCCCTCCCACTGCATTTTCTTGCTTTGTACCACACTAAAAATGTTTTCTCATAAAAAAGAAATCCAAACAGTAGTCAATTTTTCCCCACCTGTGCCTGGGCTGCATTTTCCTAGAGGCACATTATATAACAGAGATAATTAACCTCAGAATGTTGAGTAGCTTTTCATCTTATTTCTTCTGTGACTTACCTATGACTCACAAGAATTTAGCACCAGAAACCTAAAATGTGTTTTTTTCTTTTAAAATGACAGCAGCCGCTATTGTGTAAATGCCTAATTATCTTTTAAAGAGATGATTTCTTGCTTAGCCCTTTGTTTTTTTTTTTTCCCAATGCTTTTGATTGCTTTTTCTACATTCTGAAACTCAGCTCTAAAGGATATATGCATTGAAGGGATTAGATGATATATGAGTTGACTTTTACAAAAGTCTCATTTTCTTCCCTGATCTTTTTCACTGATTTGTCAGACAGGAAATGGAAGTGAAAACCCACCCATAAATGACACAGTGTTCAATAACAGCTTTTAGCATTACAAGTCCAGTGCCCTTCCTTTCCACAAAATCAAGATAGTGTTAAACTCTTGATAAAATAGCTATGCAGAAGAGACTTATAATATACTGACCCAGTTAGGTTATTTTCATTCTCAGTCCTCTAACTGAAACAAAAATGGGACTCCTAACCACTGACTGTTTGGCATATAGCAAGAAGAGATTTCATCTATTGACTGGCTAAAGACCATAAGCTCCCCCACAAATCTGAGGCCAGACATTGTCCTGAGCTCTTACCTGGCCCGATGCCATACTGAAGCAAGAATATTCTGCAAATTGATTTTATTCTGTTTTGGCTTTTAACAATGGTCCTGCTTTGGTTTGAACCTATTAGCACATGAAAAGACTTCCATTCTAATCCAGATAAATGCCTTTACTTAAATTAACGATCAGCTTCTGAGAATACAAGGCAAAGAGAAAGCATAATGCCTGAATTTGATGATTTCTGTTGCTCCTCCTCCTTCTAGGGTAGCTAGGTGGCACAGTGTATAAAGCACTAGAATTGGAGTAAGGAAGACCTGAATTCAAATGTGGCCTCAGATACTTAGTAGCTATGTCACACTAAGGAAGTCACTTAACCCTCAGTCCCTTCATCTGTAAAATGAGCTGGAGAAGGAAATGGTAAACCACTCCAGTATCTTTGCCAAGAAGACCCTAAACAGAGTCGCAAAGTGTCAGAAATGTTTGAACAACAAAAGTTCCTCCCCCACCTCCCCAGTAGAAAATAATTAGCATTTAAAATTTAGTCATATGTATATACCTTTTTTGTGGAAAGTCATTTTAATAATTAAATAAATTATTTGTTTTATTGAGCATTTGGGTTATTCATATTTAGTGAAAAGGCCATACTGGAATTATTTGCTAATGTATTTATAAGATATTATGACTTTTGGCTTTGTTTTTCGTTGAAAGTAAAGGAAACCTCAAAAAGAGTTAGGATTTCTATTTCCCATCTTTCTAAATATGGATTCTTTATTTGGATAACTAAAACAAACTTAGCAAAAAACTGATTGTAGAAAATGAAATTAGACTTCTCTGTATGGGTACTGACAAAGTTAGATGTCTGTGTGCCCTTAGTCTATAAATCATTGAGAAAAAAATTAATCTACTTGATTAAGTACAATTAGGATGAAGTTGAAAATACATACTAGATTATCCAAGTCACATGGAACTCACAGTGAATGTATGACTCAGTTTAACTCTCTGTTTCTCTAATGACTACTGTCATCTTCTTCAAGATCATGGACCAGCTTTTAAGAATATCTTTAAGTCTGGAAGTACCTCAGAGCTGATTTGATCATATATTTTATATTATATCTCATCTGGGTTTGATATTTGACTTGTTTAAGAGACTCTACCTAAACCTATTTCTCTTTTAAACAGCCAGCAGCCCTCAGGTCACATCTCCCTATCTACTCTGTACCTGATGGGTTCAAGAGTCTGGCAGGTTTCAAAACACCTCCCTTACCTCTTTGATCCTGATGGGCTCAGGAACATTTGTTCCTGGGCTATACCATGAAGACAGCTTTTAGCAGAGCAACTGGAAAACAGCCCGTAAACAGGTAGAACTCAATATGAAAGTTAAAAGAAGTTTCTATGGTGTCAGCCACAAGCCAAAGTAAATGCTGTTAAGTACTCATGTGTAGTGATACAAAGAGTGAACAAGCTACATTGTTTCTCATAAGTAGAGGATGTACTGAAAACTTGGGGTTTTTCATGGCACACCTTGTACACCCGCACCTATATGGGAGTCAGTGTTATAAATAAGTTATAGGTTCCAAGTTTTTAGGCATGTTCCCACGGCCTTCTCTCCAAATGACATTACTACATCGATCATTTCTGGAATCCCCTTACTATGTTATATTGGAAACTGCTCTCTCCAAAGAAGAAATCTGACTTTTCCTTCCCAGGGTGTATAAAATGGCATTAACAACCCCAGGGAATATGGGTGTTTCTCTCATCCAAATAAGGTACAGAGAATGAGAAGATGTTGATGCTGGCCTTAGAATCACAGATCAAAATCTTAAGCAGATGGGGCTTCAGAAGTCTAGATCTATTCTTTCATTTTACAGATGAAGGGTACTGGGGTCTAGGGGACTTTAATGACTTGCTCAAGGTCACACATTTGGGAGGATTGTAGCCCAGGTTCTTTGAATCTGGGGTGTGAGGGAGGTTTTCCATTGGACCTTGAGTCAGAGGACCAGATTTTGTAGTATTTGAAAAACTATCTCATAGAAATAGGGCTTAATGTGTGTATTATTTGGCCCAGAGGGGCAGTGCCAGGAGCAGGGGACAGAAGTTGCAAAAAGGTAAATTCAGCTTTGATATTAAGAAACTTCTGAGCTATCCATAAGCAGAATGATTCTCCCTTGTTAGAAATCTTCAAGCAGAGGCTTGATATCCACTTGGGCATATGCCTAGTAATAGGGATTCTTTCTCAGGTTTGGGTTGGACTGGGATGGCCACTTCAATCCTTTCCCAACTCTAAAATGTTAGGTGGCACAGTGGATAGAACACTGCAGCTAGAATTAGGAAGACTTAAGTTCTTAAGGCTAGCTGTGTGACCCTCGGCAAGTCATTTAATCTCTGTCTTATTTTACTCATCTGAAAAATGAGAATAATAATAGCACCTACCTCCGAGCATTGTTATAAGGATAAATGAAATAACATTTGTAAAGTACTTTGGAAACCTAAAAGTACTATGTAAATGATGACTATTGTTATGAACATGATTCTTTATGCCCTGGATCTGTTATTTTCTATTAGTATAATTTTCAAATCTCTTCACATCTTTGACTTCAGTTTACTTATCTATAAAATAAGGTGTTTGGGCTACATGAACGTTAAGGTCCTCCACTTGTTCTATATTCCATGGTTCTTTTAGATCCACAGCCTTGGGTAATAGTAACCTGCACATGAAGGAGGTACATAATGACCACACACGACCTACTGAATCTCCATATCAAGAGGAGACAGAACAAAATGTACAAATCCCCCTCTTGGAAGGGTGCCAGTAACATCCTCTAGGACCTGGAGTCTAGGTACATGAAGTGATGAAACCAAGTCCTTCTACAGAAAAACAAACCTTGTCCTATACTAGTCAACCTTCAACATTCACAATCTTGATGGCATTTTCCAATAAAGGGATATGTACAAGCATTATGATCTCAGCTCTAAAGTGAAGAGCAAATCCACTATGCTTATCTGCTAATAATTACATGCCTGTATATTTTTAATAATTTTGGTTTTTAATTATTCATGTTTGATTTGTTCTGTAAATTTTATTTTATAATTTGTTACTCCATTAAGTTGACTTATTAATCAAATGAAATAAAAACTGATGTGAGAACTTGGTGTACTGTAATTTTTTGTTTTTCTTGATTGCAGATGCTCTAAAGGTTGTATAGTTTTCATGTATTTGTCATTTAGGGGATTGAAATAGTACTCTTCTCTTTATCATGAAAATATTTTCAACAAAACAATATTTTTCAAAAATCTATTTTTGCTTGTATCTGGCAGTGCTCTAATTAATTAGTTTAAGGTGTATAATAACATGAGGGATAGAATTCCAGAAATGTATTATAGGAAGAGAAGTGCCTTCTGCAGGAGGCTGTTGCTGGTCTCCCTCTTACCCCCTGCCATCCCTCTGAGATTGCCTTCTGTCTATATTATATCTGTCTTGTACACAGTTATTGGCATATTGTTTCCTTTGTTAGAATGTGAGCTCCTTGAAGGCAGGATTCTTGTTTTTGTTTTTCTTTGTATTACCAGGGTTTACCATAGTACTTAGGAGCATAGTGAACACTTAATAAATGCTTTTTGACTCATTGACTGAACACAAGAGATGACAGATGGACCACCCAAGTGCTCCACCAAAATGACAAAATATCAAGAGATCTAGACAAAGGTCTCCACTGCATAGGGCAGATTCTCTCTGGAGATATAATGTGAGGACATGGATAAGAATTACTTGGGATGGAAAGGCATAATTGAGTTAGAGTCTACATCTATGCATGTTAATGAAATGATAGATAATTGAAGCATATAATTCATCTAAAAAAGTTTGGCTCAGAAACTCTTATGCAAAATAATGTCCACGTAATACCTGCAAATCCTCTTTCACTAGTGGTAGATTACATGATAGCTTCTAAATAACTCATTTATTCTCATGAATTAATAATTTTTGGGTAATATTTTATAGAGAAGTAACAGGTAATTATCTGCCCCCAGGAAAACATAGGACTGCCCATTGTAATGGCAGTCTAAAGAGATACTTGATATTAGCAAGTAAAAATTAGTTTTCTTATAAATTGAAGAACTGAAAAATGAATAGAAGCATTAGGTAGCTTACCCAACAAGTAACTGAAAAATTTCAATGTTCAAACTAAAGACTCCTTGATCTTCAGCTTATACTATAAATCATTAGGCTATCTAGAATTAGAGTTTTATTTGATGCAATGACATATTTAAAATCCAACTTAGATTTTGTTAAGGAAATAGAGTCAGTGACCATGCCCTTAATCCCTTAGTTGTAATATCATTGGTTGTGCATGGATCAGTTGAAAAGATACTGTGATGTTGCACATCAATGACCAGTGTGGTCAGACTGATGAAATCAGTTGTGTCAAAACTGGGTTATTTCTGCCTTTAACATGTGCCCAATGTTTAAATGACATTACTTTTTATTTTATTTCATTTTCTGTTCAGAATCATCTCCCTCCCACCTCCCCCTTATAAGAGGATGAAAGCATTTAAGGTTTGCAAAGCACTTTGCAAGAAAAACAAAACCCATTACAAATCTACATACGTATATATTTATAGCAAATTCCTGCATTAGCAATGTCCAAAAAAAAAAAAAGAGACAGAAAAAGAAGGAAAGAAATAGGAAGGAAGAAAGCAAGAAAGGAAGGAAGATAAAACAAGTTTCAACTTGTAGTCCAAGTCCATTACCTCTATATTTGGAGAGAGAGTGGGATGGGTGGTAAACATAGGAGATATTGGCACAGGACCACCTAGCATGGTGTGCCCTCATCAAAGAAGGTACTGTGTTCTATAAGCAAAGCAGAATTATGATAGCACAAAGTAAATCTAGTGATATCTCCATCCCTAATGTTCAAACAGACGATTTGTGTTCAACCTGGAGCAGAGCCTTCTGAGCTCATAGACTGATCAGCCACAGTTGAATACATTGTACCTTGACCCTAACATCGTGATGTCATTGGTCCTCTTTGAGTATGAAGGACAAACAACAACAATAGGGTCGATGGTATGTTTCATCCTGAGTCCTTTGGATCTGTGGTTGGTCTTTGTGATGATCAGAGTTCCTAAGCCTTTTAAAGTTGTTTGCAATATTTTTTGTTATTGCATAGATTATTCTGGTTCTGCTCATTTCACTTTGGATCAGATCACACAAATCTTTCCAGGTTTTTTGGGGAATCATCCCCTTCATCATTTCTTATAGCATAAGAGTATTTATTACCTTCATATACCATAACTTATGCAGTTATCCCCCAATTGATAGGC